CTTTGCTGAGTTTGATGTCAAAAAAGCAGCGTTCACAGAACGACTTTGCGCAGGTCTTGAGACTGGAAGTTGGAGTGCTGGAATGTTTTAGATTTGGGGTCTGAGTGGAACTGCGCATGTAGACGCACGTGGTCAGTTCCTGAAAATGGGTCCACATAGGTGCATGCCACGAAGAACTAGGTTATCAATGGCAAGGACATCCTGTATAACCCTACATGATTCAAACCAGTCAGCAGGTAAATTCTTTGAGACTATGATTTGAAATTTGAAGATGGGGATTCCGTCCAGAGTTGTCCATTTACATGGAGGAGGTTGTTGCGGCCTGGCATACCTGATGGATGTTTGGATCCCATCCCCTGAAACCGCCAGCTTTCGAGTCGATGGGGAGGAGGAAGCCCTAAGACTTCAGCTGGAGCCTTGCAGTCTAAACATCCGTTGCGGCCTTCAACGGAGGTACACCCTTAACTGACATGGGTTATGTTTAGCAATGAAGAGAACAGCACATTGTGAATGCTGGAAGTATCGTATCTGCCCTATCTTGCAACCGATTTACCAATGAAGTGCGAGCAGCCCTCCCATCCATATGTTATCAACTCGGAACTCCACATCCGCTTGTTGCAGCCAGCTCAAGGTGCCGCGAGAACAAGACGGACTCGTTCGCCAACAGGACTGTTGACTGTGACTTCCGCCTACCCCGAGTGGGGAACAAACGTATAAGGTGGTCCTTTTTGACAAGTTCACGTGCCCAGTGCGGGTGGGAGATTCCAATATCTGCGGAAGATTTTTCAGAACGAGCACCCGGGGCGAAGAACTTGTGCTCTCTCATCAATGAATAACTTACCTTTGGTTAGCTGAGAATGAAGAAATGGAAAAGAACATGGAAACTACTATAAGGGGTTATATAGGGACTGCTATAAGGATCCATTCCTTCATTCCTAGCTAACCAAAGGTAAGAAATCCTGGGGTCTCAACCTTTCCGATCCCAACTGAAAGCCTCGTATCACGAGGTAAGGGGCAGACTCGACCCTAAGAGACACATTTAATGTCCTCATGTTCTGGGCATGTTAACGCTTGCTCCAAGTCAGGATCCCAAAGAACCTCCCTGGACCTCTGTGCCCAACCCTCAAACCCTCAACAACTCTCAAATTCTAGATCGCCTACACTCTAGGCCGTGGACCCTAACATCCAAACCCGAAACCCTGAGTTCCCTCAACTCTTGTCGCGCCCGTGCTCGGTTACTATGATAGCTGCTGCTGCAGGAATCGTGGCAACTATCATTTGTTGGTGGCCACGGCCCCAGTATGTCCCGTTTTAGGAAACTAAGAACAGTCTGCGGTTGGCTGCAGCAAGTGGGGATTCCTCAAAAAGCTGGAAGCTTTTGGGTTGTGCCTGGCCTGAATGTGATTTTGACGGACATGCAAAACCTGAGGGCTACTGAACTCCCCAAGCTGTGCCCTGAACCCTGAACAAGAAGCCCTGCACGGGACACCCCTCAACCCTGCACCCCCCAACCCCTGGAAGCCCTAAATCCTAACTGCTGAGCCCCAAGCCCTTCAAATCTAAACCCTGCACACTGTATTAGCTTCCAGATTTATTTGCATGTGGGTACCCGCCATTCTTGTTTCCCAATGTCATTTCCTTTTTATGCCTTCTAAGCCCGAGGTTTTCCCATCATCCGAAAAAACCCTGTAGTCTCATTTACCCCTACAACCCTTTCAGCCGTCCCAGGCAGTCCTGCTGGCGGGAATCTGGCCGAATGTAGCACGGCGGAGAGGTAGTGCTAGCCTCAAGAGGTTTTATAGTGTTTCGTATGTTTTTCTCCAGTTGTGGTTACATTGGGGTTTGTAGGGCTCATAATATGGTGTTTTTGTAACCTTGTCTGCGCTGATTGCATGAAGGGTTCCTTAGAGTATTTTGTGAGTCTACATTTCAGGTGCCTTCCCGGGGTGTGGCTCGTACATGTCGACGTCCCATATAACAGGGCTTCGTAGATGTTATGCGACATAGCCAAATGATTGAATGATAGCTGCGATGATGACGGCCGTAGTGCACGAAGTAGCACACTACAACGCAATCAAAGTATAAGAAACCCTCGAAGTTTAAAAAGCCCTGGGCCGAACAAGCCCATACTGCTCCCCATCAACCCCTCAAAACTGCCGCAGACCCATCCTTGAAACATTGCTTGCACGCTTGCCCCCTCCAAAGCCCACTGAGGCTCCGACTTCTACGAGGCGCAGAATGGCAAGGTTGAGGCACACAGCTGCAAACAACACTTGCTTAGGAAGATCTTCTTAGCGATGGTTAGGGGTACACGTCATAAGGCTAAAGGTTTGAAGTAGCTGATGTTTCGGCGGGTCTCTTTCGAGAGGGTTCCCAACTGTCTGTATCCCTTTCCTGGAATATGAACGGAGAACGTTCTGCGAGCAGCTTAGTTAAGCACAGCAGCTGGCTTTTAAATATCTGGCGTCCCTCTTGTAACCCTTTCGCAGACTTACTCAGTCTTTCAGAGGCAAGAAGGCTCAAGAGATGATTCCGCTCCCGCAATATCAACTAGCTCAGCTCGAAGGTTGCAATTGTGAGGCTGAAAGGCTGACAAGCTGTCTCAGCTTTTAGTGGGGAAAGCCTTCCAAGTGCATTGTGACAGTTCGATGCGCGCTCGTAGCTGGGTGCTTGGTTTTGTCCTGATCTTGCTTCTGCGTGATGAGATTTTCCGCATTCAAGCTCAACAGGTCTGAGCTTTGCATTGAGGATAATGCTTGGTCTTCTTTCACCTGACGGCAGCAGTCATGAAGATGTCCGGGAATCTGTGTTTT